CACTTATGGAAAATTAGGCTGTGAATAAATACAGGAAGATGAAAGATTCATTGACAAAGAAACAAATCATTTTTTTAAAACTAGAACTAGTTTATTGTCATCATTGTTATTGACTTTAAACAGTCTTTCACAATGAACCCTAAAACAATACAAACCACTAAAAACGGTCTAGTATTCTTTCTTTATATAAATATACATATACACATACAAATATATGCATATGTACATACATAGCACTGACCGTCTGTGGTCAGCGGGGGTTACAGACATCAAATTTGGAGAAGACAAACTAGTAGAAACAGTGTTTCCAACACAGCGGAAACAGTAATCTCACCCGGACCTGAATTACAGAGAGTGAGTTACATGAAGAACTGAATGGTGAAAACTGAACATCTCACACCTGCATCTCTTGTGCTCTCTTCATTTCCTCTAAAATGACACCCTTTCTGTGAAGAGAAATGGCTGAACGGCAAAACGGTTTGCCGAAGGGTCACACGCAGCACAAAAGCCCGTGCTTGCTGGAGTTTGTCCCCAGGCATTGCTGTCATGCCTGTTTTCCTGCTGAGCTCCAGAATGAAACGTTTGTATGGTGAATTACAGAGACACACATTCGAACAGTCTGTGCTAACCCTGCAAGAATGTTACATTTCCATAATCATATGCAGCTCTGAGGGTGGTTAAATAGCTATACACAAATACAGTTTGCGCTGAGACATTAATGCATAATTTCCTTCAGTTCCCTTAATGAACAAAACACACTTTGACAGTAAATCAATCTGTCAAGTCTTCACAAAGTGTTACACAGGTCTTTAACACAGAACTTTACAGTGCAGTTGTGAATGCAAGGTGAAATTCACTCTTTTGTGGAAGAGGAGATGTATATGTCCAAACAGAAGAACAAGCTAAACATGAAAAAAGAACATCGACGTGTGATTTGCAGTAGTGACAGAAATAGCACCATATTAAGGACATTTTCAGTGTTTCAGTCATGAACACAGTTTTACAGATGTGACAGTCATCTTCACATTCACTGTCCTATAACCAAAACTGCTTTATATTTAAATGAGCTGAGATGAGGTTAAAAAGAGGATCAAATCCAGAAATGCAGGAGTGCCATCCAATTTGTGCTTGCCAACTAGCCTTAATCTTATCTGTAAAATACTCATTTTTAGCACTAGGAATTTTACAAGTCTGTGGAAACAGCACAGGATTTATTTATTTTTTTACTTCACAATGACAATTATGAATATTCCATGCTGTCGATTACCACATACAATAAATAAAAACAAACAGGAAACACCAATACAGCAATAAACTTACTATGGAAGCATAAAAGTCAAGTGGGAATAAATATTTAAAATATGGAGGTGTAACACTGTATCATAAGCATAACCATACCTTGTGTTAGCTTGAGACTATCGCAATGTGCAAAGTTTGAAGTAACTGCAAAGCACATTAAATGGATTCTTCAACATCCATCTAAAGTAATTCCATTGGTTCTACTAGAAAAGTAGAAATATTAAGAGCTCAATTAGCAAATTGTATTTGATAAATAATTTATGCTGTAAAAAATTATGTTTTTCTGCTTCCATTATAAGAGCATCACTATAAACATTTCCCATTTATTTTTATGAACAGTACAGCACTGAGATTTTACTAACAGTAACAGACATCATCACAGGACCAGATTTTCACATGGTAACATCCCCAGTCGCTTCTAGAAACCTCATGCTGTGATTGCTTCAAATACACAAGTTTAAAGCCTCTGTGTGAGTGAAACTGTAAAAGCGAGCATATAAATTCCTCTCAGTTGGGCTGCTATTGGTCCCCTCACCCAAAACAAAAAGTGCACACCCATGTCACCCCAGGTCCTGAAATGGGCTTAACAGAGTGAAACTGGTACATATTATCCTCTACAAAAAGCTGTTTGTTTTACAGATTCAAAGTTTGAACGTCTTTCTGCTGCTGTGATTAGGTCGGTGTTGCCATAGCACTGGCGGGAGCTGAGGCTGCTACATGTTAATGCCTCCTCCCTGAGTCTCCCTGGGGACATCTGGGACATGGGACTAATGCTGACACAAACATGTCTTTCTTTACAGGGATGTGACTGCGCGTGTGTGCGTATATACTGTACATGTGCGAGGTGGGTTCTAGAGACGAGGGGCCATTTTGGTAACATGTTCTTTGTTCTTTCATGGATTCGAGCCAGAAACCATACTAAATATTGAATGGAAACAAAGCGAGGTCAAGCACTATGAGCCGTCAGAAAGCCTGTGGATCTAATGCTTTATCACAGTAACCGTTTTCAGCATGAGGAATATCAGCACAGGTTCAACGCATGTGAAACGGCCCTTGATTTGAAACCAGAAAAGGGCTAAATACCTCCGTAAAAAGTTCAAGATGAATCTCTACATCAGAAAAAGAGATGGGATCATGCCATCAGTCTGAGGTAGCACAGATAAAAACGACATGATCTGATAAACTGAAAACAGCAGCTGTCCGTTTGTGGTCAAACATCCACCCTAATTCAACCAAATCAAAACCTGCTTTCTGTGAGAGAGTCTAGAGATCACACTGGAATCTTGAAGCTTGATGATGCTCATTACGGTTTTAAAAATACTCAATTGTACCGATCTGCACACTAGCAGTTTACAAACCTCACAAGACCTAATCTATCAGGAAACAAGCAACAAAACTGCAGATGACTTTTGGAAATGTAACAGCATTGAGAATTGCTTGTATCGCATTACACAACAGATGAAACCATTTCGTCTTATTACAGGAATGCCAAGAGCACAAAGACTGTACAATAGATATTTCATAGAGACATTGTGTCATTATTAGGGACAAAGTTCTACAGCACAGCATATCACATTCCTTTAGTTGTTCAGACTCTTTTCCATTAATTCTATTCAACACAGCCAAAGAATTGAGCACTTATCTGTATACAGACAACACAAAAGCTTCTACAGTCTCCATTGACAATACTACAATGCAATCGGTACAATAAATATACTGCACATTGTCGGAGTCTTTTCTACACCGTAATATACTGTGCAATTCTTTTCCAGAACCAGTATTTGAAGGAATATGCCTTACATGAATAGAATTTTTTTGATTATCTAGGCTTACTTCGTCCACTTCTTTAAAAAAAGGTTAATTACAGAATTTGTGGGCGCTATGAAAATATGCACATTTGACTCATTATCTACACACACTGATGATTATGTTTACATTTTTAAATTAAGAAAGAAAAAAAAACAATGGACCAGTCACCTGAACCAGCAAACATATAAAGCAAACATAACATGTGAAAAAAATAACACTATACATTCAATAAAATCAAAGCGCATGAAAAGCTAATGCACTGCACTGATCTGCTAAAGGGTTCTAAAGGAGATGTTCTCCTCTGATGTGTATATGGATGTATGCATGTGTACTATACAAAAAATACAATCTCCCCATCAGAGTAGGAGCGACCTGAGAGCATGACTGCTGTGTCGAGGTAGGTTACTAAAAAATATATATATATATGTACCACAGTACTATGGGACACCAGAGGAGAAAGAACATTTTGCTGGTACTTTCAACTCTCCCTCCCCACTAAAAGAAACAGCTGGTCTTGGATTGGGTGGCTGAGCACACAGTGAAAACGATTCAATAGCTGGCCAGACATCTGAAGAGATGACCAGTGGTAGCCCAGGCATCATCCTCTACTCAGCATTCTGAGAGTCTAATGCCAACAGATGTTATGTGTGCGAGTTATGTGCGTATGTCTGATGCACTTTGTGCTCCCTGATCAATGTGGCACTAAAAACATGGACGAGAGGCATGGGATATTAAAACTAAAAATGATGGCACTCCACATAGAAGCCATGAGAATCTCCAGTGGCTTTGGCTTCTAATGGAATGTTCACTTCCTGGAGAATTCTAGAATGCCCAGTTCTTCCATAGTTTGGCGTTCATGTCCTAACATGCAGCAGAGTATCTGAACAGCCTCAACAGTATCTAAGGGTGCTTGAGTTTCGGAATTGATCACAAGTCCTGTAATTACAACACAGGCAAAGTCCATTTCAATTCTTAACGAAATATCACAACACGTGATATGCGTATCTAATCTATATCACAATTGACTTCTATCAGCACCCATAGAAACAGCATATGTGCTTACTTCTGTAAAGAACACTTTACACACTTGTCGATCTTTCCAGTTCTTTTGTGTTATGTTGTGACATGCAAAACACATGAAATCAAACTATTCAAATACCTACACATCATTTGTATGCTTATATCCAGCGTTGCGTATGGTGGCCTCTCTTCTTCCAACAGTTCATCTGAGAGCAGTATTTTTTTTTATCCTGAAGACATTAGTAACAGTGCAGTTTATCTTTAAAAGTCTTTCCATTTTACTGCGTTGACGACGATTAAAATAAAAAATACTCTGATCAGGAAACATAGAACCCAAAAAAATCCTACGTGAATACAAGGACACTATCAAAACATCTTTACAAGCAGAATTCATAGAACAATGTCATCTGTCAACTGGCATGAGGTACTGACATATCAAAACACAGCAATTCATTAACATAGTGAAGCCAGGATCTCACAAACAAGAGGCTATGTTTCAATATGTGAAAATAACCACAACGACAATAACAACATTGTTATTTTGAGGTAGAACATTGACTTCAACATTTGGAAGTGCTATATGTTGGATTTTTTTCTTGTTTTGCTTCAACGAGCAGGAGAGCGGCAGTCCTTGAAATCTGAGGTAGAGAAGCACACTTTTCTCTTTTGACTGAATGCTTGACGTGTATAAAAACAGAACAGACAGCAATATGCAGATCTCAAAGACTTCCTACAAGACATTCATTCCAGCTGAGGTAGGTTTTTTGTTGCAAATTCTAAGGTTCACATAGCCGAGTCTAAAGTCTTCATGAAGGCTAAAACCTACTTAAAAAAACAAAACAAAACATTGATATCAGTGAAAAAAAAAGTCCTGAGAATAATTTGAAATCCCTGGAAGAAGGTCTTGGTCTCTGATGGATGGGCTTCTGAAATCATTGGTAGGTTAAGAGGAGGCAGCAAGTCGATTATATGTTTTAGTAGGAAAAATACTTCTCTGTTGTGCAGAAGAAGCCAAATAAAATCAGTTATAGATACTAGTGACTAGAGACTTCCACTGTATGCTGCCAGCTGTAACTGCAAGAGTGTATTTGTTCACCTACCAATGAGAAATATTAGATATCCATCGCAGAACCTCACCTACCATGAGGCCCTGGCATTACAGTCCAGTGATTCCCACAAAGGGAACTTAACTTACGAATAATATATTCTTTGCATGATAAAAACAGAACTAAAAAGATGAATACTTCAGTTGACCTGAGTTGGACAGGAGTCTGAGTAGTGGATATTCTTGGCCTTCATTTCTTCATCAGTCTTCATCCTGTTGGCCCTCTGCTGGATGCTGCCGGAACTGCACCTCACACTCCTCCATCAGGCTGAAGTCATCAAGGGGAAGTGTGGACATCTGGGTTTCATTCAACGGACAAGAGACCGAAGAGCTCTCAATCTGAAAAGAAGCACACACAAATACATGGTAAAAAAATCACATTACCAAACACCACAGTACTTTTCAGTTATTGTGAGGTCAAGGAATCTCATCAGAGCTCATAGGGTTTTACTTTGGTCCCTTTCAATACACTTAGGCAAATGCATCTCTTTCCATTCCACTTTTACATGCACTCATAAGTTGTTCTCCGAGAAGAACTATAACCATGCAATCCACATATCTATAAATGTATGCATTTCTCCCAAGGCTCACTGTGTGGGTGGTGTCAGGTGGATGGGAGAAGTGGGATGGTCCTGAGAAGAGTCTCTCCATCTCGTTGGAGTCGGTGCAGCTCTTTGCAGTGTGGGTTCCTCCATTCCCGTCTGAGCTTAACCTGTGGGGGCTGTTGAGGGCCAGAGCCCCCTGTGAGGAAGAGGAGGATTCGAGCACGACTCCTGCTGCTGGGTTACGGCCCGCCTGTCGGGTGGCCTGCACGGTTTTACACATCATCAACCTGCAAGAAAAAAAACATTTAACTCTGCATCCAAAGAAACATTTTGACCTTTACTTAAAGTAAAACTCTTTTCCGCCCATGCTCACTGCGACTGCATTCACTATAAAATGATACCACACATGGTCAGAATTGATTCCTCACCTGCCCCTGTAGCTAAACATGAGGAAAAGGACACAGAAAATGATGCAAGTGACTCCAATATGGATGCCGATGATGATGCCTGTGGTGGAGCTTTTATTCTGTTCATCTTTTACACAGTTGCAAGGGGTATTTAGCACTGCAGGAACAGAAAACACACATATATAGTCAGTGTGAGTGAGTTATTATGCTTGCATGTGTGGGAGTGAACCAGTGTGTTGCATCAGGCACCTGATTTTTCCACTGTCTCCTTGAGCGACACAAAGCGCAGGGTGGCATTGCCCTCTCCATGCTGGTTAAAAGCCAGAATCTTAATTTCATACACAAAAGAGGGATCTGTCGAAACAGAGGACAAAAGAGTTTTGGAATACTAAAAAAAAAATAAAAAAATAAAACCTCAATGGCAAATTGATTTCTATTAGCTGATATGTTTTTATTGTAATAATATGTATTAATATATGCATTAATAATATAATAATATATTAATCTATGTTAACTTGGCTATAAAGCAAATCAGGATAAATGTTTAATAATTTTTAATAAAGTTTTTTGTTTATTAATAATAATAATAATAATTATGAATTTGTATTATTATTATTTTTTTTATTACTATACAAATAATAATAACAAACAACAACAACTGACCTTACGATTTTTTTAAATAATAATATGTATTAATTGTGTTTTGCTGTAAACCACATGCTTATATAAGACTAAATGTTAAACAACAGCAACAACAACAATAAATCAATATTGGGTCTTGATAAGACAAGCATAACATTATTAATTTCTATGTAAATAGAATTCATTAATGTCTCACTGCATTGAACGTAACAAAAATATATAAGAACATGCCATTAGAATTTTTGATTGTGTTATTTACACAGAAATACATTCTGCTCATATTTTTTAGGAATAAAGGCCACTATGGCCAGACTCACCCAGCTGAGTGATGTTGTACTGGGTCACATTACGTGGGAAGGTAAGGGGTCCAGTGAAGATGGGGACAGGAACCTTACGGTAGTAGAGATTGAATCCTTCCTGTTGGCCCATCTTAGTGGAGGGTTCCCATGTGGCCTGAACCACTGTCGAATTAATCACCTTCGTGAACAAGGCTGGTGGAGCAGGGACTGTAGGCATTGCAAACACAAAGGATCAGGCGGAATGCATTTCATCAGCAAGAGAGTATACAACAGGGCAAGACCACAGAATGAAAGCTGCAGCCCGCCGAGATTTCAGCAGCCTGAATGGCAACCCCCGCTGATACGCCGTCACACCAACGCCAGCTGTTTCTCTCGAACACTCGCGGAGATTCGTCCTGTAGAAGGCTCGGCTCCGAAGCGAAAAGCTGATGTGCGTTTGCACGCGCTCTCCTTTTATACCCGCGCTGCGGGGCGGGGTGCGCGTGGCGAAACACGCACGCCAACTGTCATTGGCTTGTTTAGTTAACACTCGAAGGTGATTGGGCTCTCGGGCGAGATCCCAATTCGTCAGTCACTGACGTAACGTAGAACGTGACTGACTGAATGGGAACTTTACCCTGAACAACCTTGAATTAAAGACTATGCTGTGCCAAAAAGAGAGAATGTGTTTTTCCAGTTAATTACTGCCGGCACAATTAACAACTTAAAACAACTGGGAATATACAATTATGCATTAAAAAGAAGCCTGTGTTTGCATGATTGTTTAAATATGTTTTTATACCTTCTCCCAGTGTGCTCTCCACAGCCGTCTCAGAGGCTTTGCTGGCTCCGCGGGACGTGTAAGCCTTCACATAGAAGCTGTAGCTGGCGGAAGGCTCCAGATCTCCGATTACCTGCTGCAGGGTCATTTTACTCACAGCCTCCTGGTACTCCATCTCCACTGGGTCTGGTGGGAAAGTGAAGGTTGAAAGAAGGAAAGAGAGAAACCATGTGAGACCATCATTAAACACCCAAAAATGGTATGAGAGAGAAGAACAAATGGAGAAAAATGGAGAAAGAGTGTGAAAGTAAAATTAAGGATTAACAATTGCCCAGCTCTTAATGTTGGCAGCTCTCTAAGTCACATTTATGGACGGAGTAAATGTTATATTTCCTCATTATTTATTCATGCCAAATTGTTGTAAGTGATCATATACATTATAAATGGCTCACACTCCAAAACATATCTCACCACGCTGTAGGAAAGTGAGGCTTCCAGCTGATGAGAGATGCTACAGACAAATCAGAAATCTAAACTGCTGTGGCTAATAGTAATAATAACACTACAGCGAGAGAATGAGAGAGAAAAGGAAAAAGCGCAGCAGAGAACACTTAAGAGCACTTCAGCATAGGTCTTAGATCAGCTGTATTTGCTCCAGCACAGATAAACATCAACATGTAATTTTAAAGCTTCCCAGGAGAGAGGGACTGATATGTGAATACACATCCATCCTCGTGCTGAGCTTTCAGGAAAAGGCTTCAGGCTTCTCTCTTTACCAACAAGTACGCTTAGAGGTTTGATTTCATTTGGACTAAAACAGCTATTTTAAAATGCATTTTACAATATCACAATTACTTCAGGGTTACAATCTAACAAAGATAATGCCATTGTAGCTCAGCTTCGTCAAACATGTATGCATGTTAATCAGACTACCATTGGCCTTGGCCTCATGCTCTTAACATGCATTTAATCCTTTAAACATTAGATTGCACATTGTGTCATGTACACTCTGACAGAGAGAAAACCACAAAAAACTGCTTTAGCTCAATTATAACGGCACACATAAACGTGTCTCTTTCCATCATGCTACATTTCCACTCCAGCTGATGGCAACGGGAAAAAAGCAGTGATTTGCTATCGACTCTAAATCTCAATGATTTCCATAATGAGAGAGCCTGGAGTGAAGACTGAATAAAATATGTATTTCATAACATCTGTGGAAATCTACATTTACACTTTAAATAAAGTATTGATTTGCTGAGGAGTGTTTTACATTCAATGTTGAAGAAAAGCTGAGTAAATTAGATTTGATTTGATTCTTGCATGCTTGTGCGTGTGTTTAGGTTCATAAGCAGTTTTCCTACCAGCAGTCTTGCGGATATGCAACACATATCCAATTATGTCCTGAGTGTTTTGGGTGGGCTCGTTCCAGGACACCTGAATGGAGGTTGGAGAAAGGACTTCTGCACGTATGCCCGTGGGCACACCCGGCAACCCATCAGCCCACAGCACAGTCAGACGGGCACTGGCCTGTGTGGAGCCAGCACTGTTCTCTGCAATACACTGATATATGGCCTCATCATCCTGGGTCACTCCATAGATGGTCATAGTACTAGGAGAAGAGATTAGAAGAGAGAGAGAAAGACTTTTAACCTGAGAATGGTTAATTAAATGGCAGAAAGCAGGGATACACAATACATTGGTACCATATCAGTTATCAGCTGATATTAAAAAAATTATAATGTAGTCTTTCATTTATTTTTAATTATTCAGACAGTATACAGTAAAATAATTTAGTGTTTTAATTTTTAAATAAAAATGTAAAACTATATACACTAAAATATTTCAGTTTTTATTAAATATTATTATTTATAAATCATTCATTGTTAATTAACTAATACATTTAATAAATTAAATTATACTATTTTGTCTACAATAATTCTGTAGTGGACAGCACATTCCAGGGGCCCAGTTTATGGCGGGGCCCCTCTCTGACCACAATAGTGGACAAAGGTCTGCTACATTTTGATTGGATCTTGGTGGACTAACAAGCAAACTATCCAACGGCATCAGATAAAGATGATAGGACAACAGCCAGACACCTCTTAGAGGGCAAGAAGACCTTTGGTACAAAGCCCAGCAAGGACAGGCCTTCTCATTGGTCAGAATGCAGTTTCTGCCCTTCACCCACCAACAGACTGATTCCTAAGATTTTGGCTTGTGACCACCATAAAAATTCCTTAGGACCGCACGATGTAGCGGTGGGTGAAAAAAAAAAAGATCACGGAGATCCATCCAAATCCATTCATAACTATGTTCTCAAACCTTATACTGATGCAAACCACAACACACACATCTCATACTTATTTAGAGAAATAAGTATTCTCAGTGACAGCGATGTGTAGTGCAACATCTTACACAAACTCAGCTGTTAAATGGACAAATGAATGCATGCATGAAAGTAAAATTTTCTTCCATCACGTTTGGACTTAATGTGTTTGTAACAAATGTATTCTGGTTGTGGTTTGGTAAGTGAAAAATGCACCGGTAAAACTTTAGTGACACTTTTCTAAATGTGTGTTTGGACTATGCAAATAAGTTCCGGTGGAGAGCGACACCGTGTTCCCCCACTCTGATGGAAACAGCCAATCACAGCCTGGAAATGGAGAAGTGTCATATTGCAATCTCCTCCTCATCGGAAAGAGATAAAGGCACCTTCCCAATTGACACTCCTTGTTCCGAGTCTGAGTCCCAAAAAGGAAGGGATACTAACAGATCAACAAGGTCTGAGTCTGAGCCCCTCAAGGGTGAGACAATAGCAGATACACCATTCTGAGTCTCCGGCCTGCAAGGGTGAGAAACTAGCAGATACTCTCGTTCTGAGTCTCCCATCCCAAGAGACAGAAACATCAACATTCTGAGCCTCTGGCCCATGCGGGAAGAGGCAATAACAGATACAAAGTCCCGAGTCTCCAGCTTGTGAGGCAGCAACAGATATGATCACGTTCTGAGCCTCCAGCCTGTGAGGAGAGAGATATTCTACGTTTGAAATCTTCGTCCAGCGAGACAACAACAGATACAGCACGTCCTGGGTCTCCATCCTAGAGAGACAGAAGACACAGACATTTGCAACAAGGTTAAGCTCCGGAGAGCAAACCTTAATTTCAAGGCACTTTTGATTGCATGTTCCAGGCAAGGACCTTCTGCACCTACTCCAGGGCCACATCTGCGTGTCCCACGCCTGCGTAAATATCACTTATCCAAACCTCTTCCAGAGACCTTGGCATTGTTGTGTATTACCAGTATATGAAATTCTAATTTACATTAGATGTTATATAGCTGATGTCAGTTGATAACAAATGATTCATTTATTTGTTTGATACATAATTAGGTTCTTCACCTTATTTGTTTCAGAGTAGCAACAGTTTATCCATCCAGATAATGTAGCTCTGACATAGCAACACCCAACATAATCACTTGCATTTTATGCATCTTATGCACTTTATTCCCATTTCATTTATGGTATTCATTTAGTAGTTGTTGATTACTCTTGTTTATCTTTTGTTAATAAAATCTATTTGATTACACTTGTGTCTTCCTTGTGTTGATGATACAGAAAGAGGTTCTACAAGTAAGAGATCCCACCAATCTTTCTTATGTGATGTACTCATAACCACACCTTAAGTAACACGTGATCCAAATATCATAACGACATTGGTGACGCAAATACCCATCACGACACTATTTCGCCGAAGCAAATTCACTACAATTCTTAGACAATCTCTATTAATTAATTCTTTTTTAATTAATATCGACAAAAGAGTGTAGCTTTTAATATCAGCCATAGCATGAAAATATCATCTTATCAGTATTTTGCAGATTTTTAATATCGGTGTATTCATAGCAGAAAGTCCTACATAACAGGTCTCACCCATGTGCACTGATATGAGTATCTAACCTTGTTCCCAGTGCAAATGATGTAACTGGCATGAATAAAGCAGAGGATACAAACAAACCATATGCATCCACCATCTCTGGGTGCTCATTAACATGAAGTAAGCCCAACCATCTGTCAAACTCCTCCCTCCTGAATCCTCCTCTTTACTTTTTATTCTCTCTCACTAGTCCTTATTTTTCCACTCTCACTCTTTCAGTATTGTTGTTTTTCTTTTAACACCTTCTCCTTTGTGCTCCCCTTCATTGCTGGGGGATACGGTGATGGTGGAAGGGGGAGCATTATTAGTGCTGAATATATAATCAGCTGTTTTTCTTTTCTTCCATAATCCTGAGGCCCTGGAAAAAAATTTTTTTTACCACTTAAAGGGCCAGGATATGGAAATGAGAATCTTCAGCCTACTGCGACTCTTTCTTTCTAAGCTCCACCTTCTTTTTTTAATGATATATTTGCATGCGGTTTGTGTTCTCGGACAAATGGTAGGGGTGTTATGATATTGCTGGGATATTATTCAGAGTGAATGGGAAAACAGAAAGGTGTTCATTAATTTTAAAAGCCTGCAGCTTATAAGCGAGGTTTTTTTACATCCTAGTTAGTCCCAGAGATTATGGTCCTTTCTTTTATATTCTTCATGTCTCACCACCAGCCTGAAACAACCTGCCACGTCTTTATCTCTTGTTCAGTTTGATAGGATGCATCTTAACCCAAACAGTGAAATCCATCGCAATCTTAGAAAACAACTAAAGAGACCTCTTTAACTAGGCTTTTGTACCAAGGGCTTTTCTGCACTTACACTACTGCTCTGTTACTTATGGAAATTTGATATGGTAGTGCTGCTTATTAGCATATTACATTCTCCCTTAAATGAATCCCTTCTGCATGTATTATTATCCATTGTAAGTTGCTTTGGATAAAAAAAGTCTGCAAAATGAATAAATGTAAATGCTAATTAGGAAGACAAAGAACACTCTCCTCTGCCAAATAGCATCTCTGAACCACGTCTTTGGGTGCTACCATGTGCACCAGCTTGAAAGGCTTGCATATTACGTGTTAATGTATGGAGTGTTTAAACTACCTGTAAAACATGCTAATAGAGCTCTGATGGAAGAATCTATTGAACCTCGATGTGAATGAACAGGGATGGTTGGCAGTTTCAGACCGCATCCACTTGTTTTGTGAAATCCCCACACACAAATAGAGCTGCCAATAAAAATCCAGCTGTTTTTGAAATTCCAAACCAGCATGACATGCCTTCACAATATACCCACCAACCTTGGGCTCTATGGACCAAACTGTCAGGCAAGTTTCATAATGTCATCCTAGCACTCTGAGGAACAGTGCGACAAATATTAGTCTCCCTACAATCATCTGAGCAGCACTGTCAATGTCTGTTATGTAGCAGCAAAGTATTCGTTATGGCCAATAAATTGCAGATATTAAAATTGTATATAATATTTAGAAAAATAAACAAAAATAAAACACTTAAAACTAAAATAAAAGTTAATTTAAGAATTGCAACATTATAATGCACAGTAAGAAAATAATGGACAATCAGTTTAATATTTACAAAAGATTACTATAAACTAGTGCTGTCAAACGATTAATTGCGATTAATCACATCCAAAATAAACGTTTTTGTTTACATAATATATGTTTATGTACTGTGTATATTTATTATGTATATATAAATACACACACACATACAGTATATATCTTGAAAATATTTACATGTATATATTTATATTTAATATAAATATTTAATATATAAACAACATATTTTTCATAAATATATGCATGCATGTGTTTGTATTTATAGAAACATAATAAATATGCACAGTATACACATTTTGTAAACAAAACTTTTATTTTGGATGCGATTAATCGCGATTAATCATTTGACATCAGTACTATAAACTACAGTTATTATTGTTTTTAAAGATTTTCTTCATGTGAGCACAAAATGATGGCAAAGGTATTTTTTAAATGCAAAAATAATGCAGAATTAAATATCCAATACTGGCTGATACTAGGGCTGCACGATAAATGGCATGCAATATTTAACGCACATCTTGTCAGTAAAGCCGGTTCTTTAATCAGCGGTAAATCTCCATCACCTGCAGGCGTTCACATGGAGCAATGGCATGCAATATTTAACGCACATCTTGTCAGTAAAGCCGGTTCTTTAATCAGCGGTAAATCTCCATCACCTGCAGGCTTTCACATGGAGCAGCATTAACTACACAGAGCCGTTGTTCACCGACAAGCTGCGCAAAACCACGATCATATTTTGTGCATGTTTTGCGCAGCTTGTCGGTGAACAACGGCTCTGTGTAGTTAATGCTGCTCCATGTGAAAGCCTGCAGGTGATGGAGATTTACCGCTGATTAAAGAACCGGCTTTACTGACAAGATGTGCATTAAATATCACATGCCATTTATCGTGCAGCCCTAGCTGATACCAATACATTTGAAAAACATTATTGTGCGTTCCGATTTGCAATTTATCTGCTTACTACAAAAGTGCTTTGTTGTTGTTCAGAATACTGATGTTTAAAGAGGAAAAGCACACAGTGTGCTGGGACCATCTGCACCCTCTCTATCGGTCTATACATTCCAGCCTCTTCTCAGATTGACAGAGAGCATCCCGAGACAGGAGGG